TACAGATGGTGAGTTTTTTTTTTTTACTAATGCGATTAGAAGATGAAGTGAGAGAAAACGAAAGATGGGACTATATACAGGAATTTTATTGCTGACAAGTACATAACTAAAGCGCTAGGGAAAATAGAAAACACTAAACTAGGTATACAAATATTTTAAATAAATCCTAAATTATTAAAATAATAGCTGTTATATGTACATAAGCTAGAACGTGTTGGCGATAACGTAAAATGTTAATTAAATGTAAGTGATGTGGCTATTCAATTGAAGAGTGTTGTGCACATTAGAGCGTGTCACAAATATATGATAATTCATTATCAAAACTGATATAATATATGAGTGTTTCAGGAAAGTAAAATTGTTTTTTCGTTACTTTATAGAAAGAGCGAAATCGATTTATTTTATAACTCTCACATTTGATTATCGTCTTTTAGGAGTTACCAAAGAATAATTACTCGATTATGTGAAATTAAAAAGTTATTTACACTTTTCTAGAAACGACACCCTGTACTCAATGGTAACTAAAATAAAAATATAATTTATAAAATTATTGTTGTTAATAAAAAAATTTTGTCACATGAAACGCAAACTTTTTTTGCTCGAACTATTCGTAAATCATAAAGCGGATTTATGAGAATGCTCCGATTTTGCTGTTATTATAGGGTTTTATATTTTTGAAATCCTTTCATAGCAAATATTCAAAATCGATTGTGACATTTAAGTATTCCTTATTTTCTCTTCACATACAGTCGACGTAATATTTTCATATACCTATGAACATTAGGCCGTACAAGCTTACAAGAAAAAAAAATAGTTGTACACCACAGAGTCCAAAGTATTTTTGCAAGGTAATTTCGACTCCTTTTTGTGTCGAAATTGAGTAAGAAGGAAATAACAAAAAAAAAAATACTTTTTACTGACATTAGGGTAGTATTTTAAATCACTAGGAGCTGAGATAATTAGGTAGGTAAGCACCTTAACGTGGTGGTTGATGTCCGGAACAAAAAAAAATTTAAATATCATAGTTTACAATCTGACTAAAATTGCTGAATATATGATGAAAAATATAAAAGTGCAACCCTCACCACCGACTAAAAACAGTTTTCTTTCTTCAAAATTTCCATGCAAAAAAACTTAAGACTTGGGTGTGTATGGCGAACTTTTCTTTTCAAATACGGTTTAATTTACATACGTACATACATACATTAAACTTTTAACAGCTGCCAACTTGCGGCAGTATCATCTAAAGAATAGACCAAAGAACAATATTGGCTACTGAAAGTGCTTTCGGTTTGTATGCAAATGTATACGAATACGAAATTTAATGTTCAATAAATATGTTTATATATTGATAGTTATACCGATATACAATATATATATCGATAAACAAGAGGTTAAGGACATCGAAGCTGAAATGGAAAATAATTCACGAACCGATGGTTGGAGGAATATTAATAAATAAATCGATAACTAAATGGGGAGGATATTGATGATTAAAATAATAATTATATCTTTATGAATACGAATCTGGATATGGCCAAGTCGATAGATATGGTGATAAGCAATTCATCGCTCTCCGAAATTTGTAAGCTAACACAAGTACGTTGAATAGTAATCGGAAGACGTAGACCTACATCGATAAATATATCGGCAAAAATATCGATAACTATATCGTTATAAATATTGATAACTATCATCGAAAATGATGATGATTGTATCGATAAAAGTGACGTTAAGTAACTCTACTTCAGTAAGGAAAATAGTAAGTGAAATAATATTTGAAATGCGATATTAATAACTAGATCGATAACTAAATGTCGATATCGATGGTTATAATAAAATTTATGAATTTATATGTATGTAAATATACATATACATACACTGCTCCGCCGTCTGTTTGGATTCATTTGGAAGAATCGCGTTGGTTTGTATGGACGGTGTCAATGTTTAAGGACAACAGCTAAGTCTAACGTCGGCAGTGTCATGGTTCAAAACGGTCTGAAAACGATAACTAAAGCGATAAATACAAAAAAACCACGATTTTTTCAAGTGAGTTCAAACTCTTTGCAGGGAAGTGTATATCGATTTATATACGAAAGAGTATAGGTCAAAGATATTGCAATTAGGGGATTCACAAGTCGTGTTAACCGTCGTAAAATCTTAAGCTTAAAATTGTTTTATGTAAAACAATGGTTAGAATGATTTTATAGGGGCTGACTACATATTTTTATCAGTTTAAAAACATTTCGGTGGAGTTGGAAATCTGCTAAAACCTTTTTAATCGTTATTTTACACGATTTTACGATGGTTAACACATATTGTAAGTCCCCTATATATCGACAAACGGGTCGATTACAATATCGATAGCGACATCGAAAATATCTATGTGATAATAACTTTGCAGTAGGAGTAAGTAAAGTAGGTATCAATTTATGAATGCACCCAGTTAAAATGTGAGAACTGCTGAATGATTCTGCGATTACTGGCAAAGGGATGTGCGATTAAGAACACCTTTGATCTCTTTGTATAGATTAAAGAACCTTCTTTTATTCGATCGTGTGAAAAGGCTATTTTGCGGCTATTATAAAAAAAATGATTAGAAATAAAACGACATACCGAGAAATTAAAAAAAAAATATATATTTTTTACTTAGAAGCTTGTTGTCGTCAAAAGACAAATGTAGTTCTTATTAACCTGCATAATTCAACTGTGCACAAACATATGAACGTACTCTATATATGCACTTACGTGTACTTACTTATGTATGTATGTAGAAATTCTTGCTCGTTTGCAGGCGCCTAACTGCCTGTCACAGACGATCGATCAATTAACCCGAAAAATTAACGAGGACTTTAAAACGACGATGGATGAGCGAAGAAATGAAACAAACTGACATATTTGTAATTAAAAAAGAAATACCAATGCAACAACTATAAACAATTAAAGCGCATGGAACCAAAATAAAAACAGAAACAAAATGAAAAGTAAAAAGGAAAAGTAAAAGTAAGTAAAAGTGAAATGAAAATGTTGAAATAAAACCAAAGCCACTGAAGCAACGGACAAGCTACGAGTATGTACGTATTGTATGTATATACAGAATATGCATTGCTACGACTTATATAAAAGTGACAGCAACAACAATATCAATTGCAGCAACAACACATGCGCTGATAATTGTTAAACCGGCAAATTGGTTATCAAGTAAGAAAAAAGCCGAGTCCAGTCGAAACGTGGCACATTGCCACCAATGCCACTGGAACACGACCAGTGCTGACCAGAAATTCACTATGGAGAAAAATTTCAGTAAGTGGCATGGTAAACAAGGCCAATGCGTTTCCGTCAACGTAAGCTTACAGTGGCAAGCACGCGAATGATGGTATGAACTAATGGATAAAAGCATCAACGAAGATATGTGTACATACATATGTATTTGTATGTGTGCTCATTAGACTGGGTTTGAAAATCAATCTGCAATTACCAAAATCGAATTCTCTTTTTAACTTTTTTTTATACCTCGATTTTAAAGTGTTTTGTATCGATGAGAAAATCTTTTTTATAACAAACATCCTTTTGTGATCCTGCCGACCTAGCATGTCAATTAAGTCTACTAAATTCTTATAACTCAGTTTATACCTAACTGAAAACAAATTTACCCCACAGAAAATTAAGCACTTTTAGTAAGCGCTGTGATTTTTGCTTGGAAGCTTAACGATATATTATTTAGGCGGTTTACGAATCGTGGGAACATCAAATTACTTTCCTGCACGCTTGAGTTACTCGCTTGCCATGGCGTATGAGTAACAATAGTGTCTAATAGCGTTTTCTTTTCTCCAAAAATGTTCTGCCCTTTTATATGGGAACTTTCGCTTTGCGTTGCCCTGAAACCTGAGAAAATGTTGCATTCTTTATATGAGAATGAAACAGAAAATGTACTACTCCATCACAATTTATTTATAGAACTTAATAAAGCTGAATTATTCACTTGGCCTGTAACAATTTTAAAACAAAACACTTATTTCTGATAGGGAAAATAATTGAATTTTTACAAGATTAAATTAAAAATCAACCATGCAACTCTCACCCTCACGTTTATTTGAGGGCAGAAAAGGCAGCACTTTCGCCGGATCAGAGCGCAACCTGCTGAGAAAAGAACACGACGCCTTGTGAAAGGGCTGAGAAAAGAACATGAAAATGTGACAGCGCTAACACAAGGCAGAATAAGTGCAGCCTTTTTTCGAGAAAAGAAAATGCTATAATACATATCAACATCAAATTTGAGTACGGGGTGAGAATTCGTGAAACGGATCACTTTTTCCGTTATGTCGTAGTAATACTTTTGATTTATTGAAATTGGTAGTCCTTATTTATAAAGCCGTTTCTTTAA